CGGCTAGCCTCCCCCAATTCATGTTCTCATAGTGCTCCCCAAACTGTGGAGCAAAGTCAGGTATCAATCCAGCCTTCCTTTCCATTAGTAGCCTCCTATCTTGGACAACTTTAAAGTGGCGCTCATGCTTGAGATAGGAACTTGTTGGCATAGGAGCGTTCTGGCTCCTTATCCTTCCTCTTGGATCCTACAGTCTTGATTCTCTTGCCCGATGAGGAGGCCATCGCTACATCAAACACAATTCACAAAACCACAAAACATGTTGTTATAGCATTAGTAAAACCATAAACAACACCTAAATCCAGCTACTCACCGCTTGAGCGCAACAAAACCCCTTCAGCGCAACATTAACAGTAAGCCAGCAAGACAAAAGAAGCGAATAAAAACCATTATGTTAGAATCGCACACATGGGAAATTTCCGTTGAGCGGTCGATTCTGCAATTTTCAAAATTTTTTTTAAATCTCCTAATCTCCACCCACATGTGTTCTTCCTTCTTCCTAGACCAAATCAGCAATTTAATCGGTTCAAAATCAGCAGTTAATTCATCATAATCATGCATAAAATCAAAATCCCTAAGAATCATGCTTTGAACAACCATTTCATACGAATTCATGCTTTCAAGAACCTAGAATGGAAAATGCTTGACTTACTTGGGTGGAGATTCTAAATGAGTAGAAAATGCTCTAGAATATGAAGAAATCAGCCCCCAACAACAATGCTCGTCACCAAACCCCAAACTTGAATTAAAACTTGGTGCAAAAGTGAGTTGAAGAGAGGTTTTGTGAAGGGGGAAGAAGGGAAAAGTGAGGAGAACTCTTTAGAGAGTGCTTGAGAGTGTGTGGAAGAGGGAGATCTAAAAATAAAAGAAAAGTCGCGCCCTAGGGTATAAAAATACCCAAATGGGCCTAATCCCGCTGAGCCCAATTGAACCTAACCGTCCACCCAACTCTGCAGTGTTTGCGCTCAGCGGAAATTTCCGCTGAGCGGCATTTGTGGCATATACTCTCCTTCTTCCTAGCTTGCCCTAGGTCTCTTATAATCATGCCTCTCACTCACCTCATGCATTTATGTTCTTACAGCACTTATACATTCCATCCCTATCATGCATCTAAACTAGAATCAAAACAAACAAACACAAGTAAATCAACAGGGTTGCCTCCCAAGTAGCGCTTGTTTAACGTCACCAGCCTGACCCAAAATCCTCCAACACCCTTCAGTAAGTGCAAATCTTTCTTACCAACACCCATCAATAGGTGTAAACAACCTAGTATCCTTCAGTAGATACTCAACCACCTAGCATCCATCAGTAGATGCTATACCATAAAATCTCAAACAACACAAATCATTGTCCCAAGTTTATAAAAAATTACATAACCAAAATAAAAAGAAATTAAGTGTTCTCAAATTCACTAGGTGCTCCTAGTAAGCGCTCTTTTAAGTCATTAGCTTGAACCTAATAAAGCTCAACTTCCATATTCACTATTGGTGTTGCCTCTTTCTTTAATCACCCAAACTCATCAGTGTTTCCGGTTTCCCACCTTTTGACTCTCCTGAATATGGAGCTGCAATCTCTTCACTCCACATTCTCTTATTAGTCTCTTCACAACCCACAAACTGTTCTGAATTTACTGTTGTACCAAGTTTAAGGTGCTGATCAAGTCCATAACATTCCTTCCTGTGCCATCTTTTTCTGTCTTCCCTAACCTGTGCCAACGAAACAATGTACCTATTGAAGATCGGCTTTGCCAGCTTTTGAACTAGTCAAGGTGCATCCTTACATGCAACTTTATGACTAGCCTCCTTCTCTGAATCTATGCTCCCCTTTGAAGAAATTAAAGATCACCTTTTCTCCTCGAATCTTGAAGCATTATCATCCCATCATCCACATTGATTATTACCTTTGTCGTTCTTCTAAACGGTTTTCCAAGAATGATTGGAACCTTCTCATCCTCCTTCATCTCCATCACCACAAAATCTACCAGGAATTTTAGTTTGTCTATGCAAACATCACATCTTCCGCCACACCATAAGGTTTCTTGTGTTCATGGAATCTAACCTCATTAGATAAAGTGTTCCACTCAAACACACAAGTGTATAAAGAGGTATTCACTCATTCACTCTACTATTACAATGTACATTGATTCAACTTTGCCTTTCATTTAACTACAATCAAATACATTACCAAGTAAAGCATCATCACAAGGACTTTTCAACGGCTTATAAGTGGCTCGGCTAACAATAAAAATTGGTTTTTCTGGTTCACAAAACCCTTGAGTTAAGAGAATCATCTAAACACAATCATTCTTAATTATTACCAACTTTCTTTCGCATTGAGCTTTTCTTTTCTTTTTCTTTTTTGCTTTGCACATGTGATGAGAGGGTCGCACCTCCCAACAAAAGTTGTGCATAAAAGAATGCAGTATAGACTAGGAAGTGACTCCTAGGTCGTCTCTCAAGGACCAAATTGGTTTCAAGTCTCAGATCAACACGTGGTGGGGGGGTTTTGAAAGATTTTTTTTTTGTGAATGCCACTGAACTTAAATAAGACACTAATGCAAACGGAAACGTAAAAACGGTCTCAATCACAAAATTAAAGCGGTTGGTCACTAAAGCTAACATTACTTTTAAATTAAAGGAGTGAAAATTAACCAATTTAAAGGAGTGAAAATTAACTTTGAGATGATTAACATTGAAAGGAGAATATGGTAATTAAGCAAAGATCACTTAAAAATTAGCAAGCATTCAAACCTAAGTGTATGCAATGTGAAAATTTAACCAAATTAAGTGCAAGATTAAGCAATTAAATAATATAAAATTAGACCCTTGGAGCTCCTTGGATGTGGTAGCAGCTCCCTTCCATCACCGTGCACCACACAACATTCTTTAAATAAAGAATTCACAATTCTCATCCAAAAAGAAGATGCTCTCCTTCTACTCCAAACCAATTGCCGAGAACTCTCTGGAAGAAGGGTAAGAACCGTGAGAATTCAAAAGCCAAGACCCCTCTTCCTTCTTCCTTTCAAAACCGTGACACCTAATACCATCATGTTTCTCAATTGAAACCAAAGTCCATCCCATGAGCTACTGCAAAATAAAATCCAGTGCTCTTCATTCTCTAAGTAATAAATGCATCATCCCCCTTTTCCTCCAAAATTAAATCCCGTGAGCTTCCATTCCAGCCCCCGTTCCATTTCTCTAAATAAAATAAGGACACTATCCTGGAGCATTCTCTCCCTCTCGGTTGCAGCTGTGGCACATTAATCTTCCACCACGTTCCAGCAGCTTGAAGATTGGCCCATTAACACCGCTTCATTCTCCTTCTCCCGTACGCTCCCTTCCATTAGTCTATCATATCATCTCAACTCATTCCAGCAAAATAAAAAAAAAAAACCGTTCGTTACTCCAAATCATGAGCCAAAATGAAATTATAATGGCAAACTGAAAACGAAACTCATGCACAAGTCAAAGCAAGAAAATTTAATTTCATAAAAGCTTCCTTTGCAACAGTGTTTTCAGCCAAAGAAAAATCCCCCCCAAAACCAAGACCGAGAGTGTGTGGGGCTAGCTTTGCAAGTGGCGGCTGTGCTCCTTTTCTAAGGGTCGTGTGTCCTCTTTTTTAGGGTAGGGTCCACACAATAAAACCCTAGGGTGCCAAGTCACTAACTTCTAATTTTTGGGTCTAATCTAATTTACCAAAAATTGACCCAAAATATAAGAGTTGATACAAAAATTCTAAACTACTGAATTACAATTTAATTAATTCACAAATGTCTGTGTGGAGAGTCTTGAATTTATTTGGCACTCTTCCTGATGTCCCAAAATGTATTTCCGAAATTTTTCCTGCACTTCAAAAATGCACTTAATCATCTCAGAAAACCCAAATTAGCACAATTACAAATTTCCGACCAAATTGAGCAGAATTCGGAAAACGGGGAAATAACAAACAATTAAACACAATTCCCTGGTTTATTTAAGTGCAATAAACTAAATATAATTCTAGAAATAACGACTCATCAACATGCTTAACTTTTACCTCAATGCTTTTTAATTTCCCTTTCTATTTTTCCAAGAACCCCAAACTTGAACATTTATCCATACCACAAAATGTTTTCAATCTTAACTCAAAGTATAAATTTTTCACAAAGAGGGTTTTCTATCTTGTTCAAGGCTACGGGTTCAAAGGATAGAACACAAAGTGTTCCATTTTGATTGGGTTACAATCATTCATTTGGCTAACAAAAAGGGTTACCAACAAATGGCCTTGATCATATGATGCAAACAAGCAAATACTTCAATCATAGAAAACTTTGGTAAAGTCATTCATTCTTTCAAAGTAGTAACATTCAATCACAACAACTCTGGAGCTCAAAATCTCACATATAAGCTCATTCACATTCCACATACAACATCCTGCTTAGCATCATAATCACAATCACAACATCTTGCATTTGTTCACAAATCTTGTGAACCACCTGTATAAGCATATACTATGCACAATCTCAATATCAATCAATATCAAAGCATCATCAAGCATTACTTATCACCCAACAGTCACATGCAAACCATCATAATAGAGAAGTTTCAAATTGAGTACATCAACCCTATTCTAAAAACAGAAGCAAATAAGTTCAATATTACAAAATACTAGGTAGAAAAGATCCTGCTCTAGTGCTGATAGCATCCATCAGTAGATGCTATCTCAGCTCCTCATTAGCCTGTGTTGTCATCTGTATCTTCCTCCTCTTCATTATCTTCAGCATCTTTAAATGTGTCCTCATCATCATCATCATCATCTTCATCCATAGCTGAAGCTTCAGCTGCTCTAGCTCTACTACCCTGAATTTGCTCCTCTGGCCAATCCACCACACTATGGAACTCATCCATAGTCCACCTGTGTGCTGGGGGTGTATCATATAACTCAATAATCATCTCA